GAGGTCTACCTGGGATCGTTGTGCGGAGCCCCCCAAGTGGGCACCCAGGACTCTCTGGGACCTGAGGTCCTGGCGTTCCATGAAGCCACCAGCTTCTCGAGCTGATGTCAGCTCAGGACGAGGATGGCGAAGCGGTCCCCTCCCGCATGCCAGGGCGACGGGTCACTGTGGCGTCTACACTGGGCAGGGAGCACGTAGGGCAGGGCAGGCAGGGCAGGGGAGGTGTTGGGGCGCTCAAAAGTCTGGGAGAGCCCGGGCTCTGTGGTGGGTGCTGCCAGGGGTCGACCCTGCCCTGCTCCCTCCCAGGGTCTGGGCATGACCACGGGGGATCCTGGAGGTCAGGAATCCCGTAGGGTTCCTCCTCGGACCCCGACCCAGAGCCTGCTCAGCACGTGAGTGCCACGGTGAAAATGGGCACAGGTGCACACAAACGTGCACAGACGACACACACTCACACCATACACACACACACTGTAAACACACCATGCACATACACTCACAAGCACACATATGTGCATACGCACACCAAACACACCATGCACATACACTCACCATACACACACACCCCAAAAATAGCATGCACAATCACATGCACACTTATGTGCATACACACTCATACACTCACACACACCAAACACACCATGCACATACACTCACATGCACACCCCCCCAAAAATAGCATGCACATACAATCACAAGCACACTTATATGCATACACACTCATACACATTCTCACACACCAAACACACCACGCACACACACTTTCACACTCACACACACCAAACACACCATGCACACATACTCACATGCATACATATGTGCACAGACTCACACACCAAACACACCAAGCACACACACTCACATATGTGCACATACACTTGTTCACACACACGCTGTATGCCAGGCCCCTCCGCCTGCTTCCCGCTGCTGTGCCAGGCTGTCCCCACGCACACCCACCCCCAACCTGCACTGGCCAGTCCAGGACCGGCCACAGAGGGCACCCCATGGGCACCGGTGACATTGGCTACAGGACCGTACAGGACCCCTGCTCCGCCCCGGAGCCTCCAGACATTCAGGTGCAGCCCCCTCCTGTCCAGCAGGTGGCCAAGCCGTCCCCACTTTGGGACACGGCAGCTGAGGCCCAGAGAAGCAACCGCACAAGCAGCAGAGCTCAGCCCAGACGGGCGGCCCAGAAACCAGCACCGCGCAGGGCGCCGGACAGTTCTGCACGGCGGGAGCGGGCAGGCGGGCGAGGCGCTAGTGCCCAGTCACCCCTGAGGGCGCCGCGGGGAGGAAGCCCTCGGCCGGGGTCAGGACCTCTGTGCGGCAGCGCGTCACATGCTACGTCACCCTCCATCTCTAGTGAAGCCTCCTGAGCGCAGCGTGATTCCCTACGCTCCAAGTGGGGAAACTGAGGCTCAGAGAGGACCCGCAGCTTGGCCCAGGCCACCCCACAAAGTGCCATGGGGCTCGGCTTCCGGCCAGGCCTGTGTGGCTCCACTCCGCTCCCGACTACGCGGCCGGCCCAGGCTGGAGAGGACGGAGACCCACCGCACCCCTTCAGTCCGCAGGGCCGGCTCCCCAGGGCAGGGCACCCTCGAGGGAGGGAGCGTGGCCTCTGCCGCCGCAGCGCTGGCTCAGAGCAAGCCCGTCCTGGTGGGGCCGCCAGGGCGGCAGCGGGCAGCTCTGAGCGGAGGGTCCACGGGAGGCCGAGGCGGACTCACCTGCGTCCTCTCCCTCGGCCGGCGGCCTGGCTGGCCCAGCTGGCCCAGGGCCCTATGCGCACTCACAGCACAGGGCGAGGCTGGGATCCAGCACGTCTGCTGGCATCAGGACCCTGCAAAGGGCTCTTTCCGTAGCCCCTCCAGAGACCCAGGAAGCGGGGTGGCGTGACGATCCCTCATTGGCAGGTAGACAGCTGTGCTAGTTAGCAAAGGGCAGGGCCTCAGGGCATCGCCAGCTCTTTCCAGACAGGGCGGGTGGCACATCCTGCCACGTCGAGCTGGGTGAGGCGGTGACTTGCTTCGGTCAGCGCAGCAGCAGCAGAGGCGGCCAGTGCTGGGCTCCCCGGTGTCGCCACAACTGAGCAACTCCCCGGGAGACGCCCTCGCCAGCCCGCATGGGGCCCATGGTAGGAGGAGAGGTCCGGGCCCACGCCCCTGTGGGCAGCCTCCGAGCACAGCACGGCCTCAGCCCCCCAGTGGGGAGCCGGCTCCCCCCACCCCGCACACCGACCCCGGCCCCGTGCAGCACGGGGCTCCCCGTGAAAGAGGAAGGAAGAGTCACGGCGCTGCCCTGGCCACCCTGCCCCGTCCTGAGTCTGCTCTGACCATGGGGCCCAGGGCAGCTCCCCGGCCACACAGCACGAGGGGCCCCTGCGAGGGGAAGGGGCCGGCGGGGGCTCCCGTGGCAGCCGCAGCCCTGCCTCCTGCTGCCTCCCGCCCAGGACCAGCCCGGGCCCTTGCAGGAGAGGCTGGGGGCCCGTCTCTGCCTCCGTGAGATGAAGCACAGGCCTCCCACCCCGACAGCTGTCCAGGTCGGTGTTTTGTAACCAGCAGCTGCAAAGTGACTGGTGTGACTGACCCTGCCCGGGTGGTCTCGGTGGGGGGGTCTGGCAGCACCGATGGCCTGAACGCCACACCTGCTCTGTGGAGAGCTGAGATTTCTTTGCAAAGGGGCCCTTAGCCGCGGGTCTCCTGTGGGTCTCCCTGGGCAGGGCTGCTTCTCCGTGTCCAGGGCACGCGTGGGGCCGGCTCCTGAGAACGGCTATGGCTGCAGCCTCCCCGCTGGCCGCCGGATCTGCCCGCCGGGCAGGGGGAAAGGAGAGCGAGATGCTTTTGCATCTCAAGTGGCTGCACATGTGACCAGTGGATGGACCCCAGATTCAGCCTTGTGTGGGGCAGCGTGGGGTGTTCGCGGGGTTCGTAGATCCCCCACGCAGTGCTGCAGCCGGCACTGTCCCCTCGCCGGGGGCCAGGCCCCAGAGGCCATCCTTGTGGGCGCAGAAAACCTAGAGGGTTCACAGACTGCGTGATCCACGCACGGGCAGGCCCGGCAGAGCCGCGAAGGCCTCAGGCACTGCGTCCAGGGAAAACGTCCACGTTTGCTCCGACCCAGGGGCCCCGTGCCAGCCCCCGCCTGCCGGCCCCACCAGCCACACCGGCTGCAGCCCCTCTCCCAGGACACCACGGCCAGGGAACAAAAGCCATGCTTACCAAAGGATTTTTTCTTTATTTTCATAATTTAGCTGAATCAACACAAAATTGAATACTGTAAAACAAGAAAAAAAAATATGCTGTAACATCTTAAATCTCCCGGGCTCTGCCCTCGAAGGCGTCTACACGCACGTTCAAAAGAAACAGGCGACGACGGACGGGAGCTGGTGGGGACGCTGGCTGGTCAGAGGCGTGCGGGGCCGCAGCCCCGGGACCCCGCCCTGCTCTGGGCGCAGGCCCGACCACCAGCGCCGGCAGCTGCCTTCCCAGGGCCGCCGCCTCCGCGACAGACCCCGGTCTCAGCCGCTCAGTCCAGGACACGCACACCTCTGGGTTGTGACGGAGAGAGAAGAGACGTCCTCGCGGGTGCTGGAGCAGGTCTTAAATAAACGGAGTTCCTTCCTATCTGTAGTCTATGGTAGCCGGCACGGCTTCTACACAGTTATTTTTTTAACCTTTTTTGTTTTTTAGTAGCATAGAACTAGCATAATACTCATGTTAATTGGACTCTTAGGTAGTATACTGCAGCGGGAACGCGGGAGAATGAAGGAGCCTGGGGCTGCCGGGTTCGGACCCAGACCACCCCGCACTCACGGGCCCTGCCCCGGCCTCTGCCACCCCGCTCCCCTGACCTCCGACACGAAGACAGAGGACTTCTGAGAATGAGGGGACGCGGAGCTGGGGAGAGGGCGGCAGACTGGCCTCGAGATCCACAAGTGGCAAAGGGGTCAGAAACGGGGGAACGGAACCCCCTGGAAGAGGCGAGGTCAAATATCGTACACTCAACGCTCACCAACACGGAGACCAACGGGTGGGAACTGTCACACCGACCCGGAGGCAAAAGGAACCCGGCTTCCCCCAGGCGCTGGCGGATGCCTCCACGAGACACCAGTGCCGTGGTCCTCAGAGCGCTCCTCCCAGAGTCCTGCCTCGGGGCGCCCCTCCCACCGCGCCCCACCCCACGGAGTCTTCAGGAACACACGGGGCTCAGCCCGGCTCTCGGGATGGCCGGGGCTGCCACACTGATTGTTAAATAGGATTTTCTACAAATATACAACATATAAAAACTGTTAAATATATAACTTTAGGCTTTGCAAAATACATTTAATGATCTCTTTCAAACAAGTGTTACTTTAGTTTTCTTTAATTTGCTTTCTGGAGCTAAATGGTGTATCGGATGCGACGGCAGTCACGGGAGACCCAACATGCTCTTGGCAAATACCGGATTATCCAACTATCAAAAATGGAGCTGCAGAAGAGGCATGTTTACTGGTTAAACAGAAAGTGATTTTAGTACGATAAAGTCGATCTAAGTACAGAGGAATACAGCGGTCTGTGCTCCCGGGGGGCTCGCCGTGTCTGCGTGGGGCCCATCGCCGGCCGCGCCCCGGCCGACTCCCGCAGGTGCGCCGCGGCCTCCTTCCGGCCAGAGCCCGTCCTTCCAGGCGGTGCTGGGGCGTTCCCGGGGTGCAGGCCTCCGCCGCGGCCGCCCTCGCCGCTCCGCCGGGGCCGCCAGCATGTCTCTGCCACGGGCCCCCCGCCCCCAACGGACCCCAGGACTCTGACAGTCAGGGCGCGTCCCCGTCAGGACAGATTTTGCTCTTTGGTCTATCGAGTGTACTGAAAGTATAAGAAAATAAAAGCGATTCGGACAGTCTGGGCACAGGAAGAGGCGGCTTCCGCACCTGACAGTCCCCTGGGCCGGGCGTCGTGGCTAAGGCTGGCCGGGCTGCAGCCTCCTCCGGGCACCGGCGCCTCCTCGTCCTTGTCCTCGTCCTCGAGCAGGGCCGGCGGCGGGTGGGCACAGCCGGGCTCCCGCAGACGGGTATTGCTGATGCGTGGCGCCGCCCGCCCGTGTGTCCGAGTCCCGGCCGCCTCGCTTCAGCCGGACGGGCCGGGGCGCAGAACGCCGAGGACGAGGCTATCCTTGGCGGGCCGCGGGGAAGAGAGCGGGCGATGGCGGAGAATGGGTGGAGTCCGCGGCGGACGGAGGCCTGTGGCCCAGCGTGGACTCTCCAGGGAGCCAAGGCCACTCCCGGGGGCCCCTCAGGGGCTGCGTTTGTCAGGAGACCTGAGGAGCAAGAAGGAGAGAGAGTCAGCCTCTCGCAGACACCGCCAGGGCCACCGAGGGCCACGAGGCCACGCGCGTTTGTCTACGAGAGTCGCCCGGCATATGTACCGTCGCCTCCCGTCCCGCTCGGCCCGGCCTCCGCTCCTGCTGGTACCGTATTAGACACAGCGGAGTCTCATTTCTGTGCGGTGAGCACCGCTAGTTTTCCCAGTGGATCTCCCACTGCTAAATCAGTGATGTTCGTTACACACATTCTAGCAGTTTCCTACAGTCGTAGCTTTTCAACAGCTCCAGATGCATCTGGAATGTCCTGAGACCGGATCAGGGACCATCAGTTCCATTTTCTGTCCAGGCCTGGGCCCCCTGGGTGGGGGAGGCACCCCAGGGCCACGTGACAAGGGGCTCGCTCGCACCAGCCCTGGGCCCCGCTGTAGACGCTCAGAGGACCCCGACTCTTTACGGCAGATCGAGGGACAGCGGCGTGGCCTCTGCTGCACGGGGCGC